TTTTTTTCTTTTTTGAGATGGAGTCTTACTCTAGCCTGTTGCCCAGGCTGGAGTGCAGTGGTATGATCTCGGCTCACTGCAACTTCCACCTCCAGGGTTCAAGCAATTTTCCTACCTCAGCCTCCCAAGTTGCTGGGATTACAGGTGCCTACTACCATGCCTGGCTAATTTTTGTATTTTTAGTAGAGATGAGGTTTCATCATGTTGGCCAGGCTGGTCTTGAACTCCTGTCCTCACATCATCCACCCACTTCTGCCTTCCAAAGTGCAGGGATTACAGGTGTAAGCCACTGCACCTGGCCATTTTTCTTTTTTTCTAAAATAGAGACGGGGTCTTGCCACATTGCCCAGGTTGGTGTTGAACTCCTGGGCTCAGGTGATCAGCCCATATCAGCCTCCCAAAGTGCTGAGATTACAGGCGTGAGCCACTGTGCCCGGCCTATATTAATTCTTATTTTGTTTAATTGAAGGGTCAGCGTACCTTGTCCAGGCAGAGCTGGAGCAGGGCTGTGGGGTAGAGGTGTGTTTCAGGCCAACCTGAGGGCGGATGCAAGACTGAGACCACCTTGGTCAGCTCCATGCTGAGAACAGTAGCTGGGACTGGAGGAGGGATATGGGATGGGGACAGGGATGGGCAGAGGCCTGGGGCTCTTGTGGAGGCCTGGATTTAGCTGAGGCAGGAAAGGAGAGATGGGTCACTCTGTGGAGTGGGGGAATGAGCAGATCAAGGGTTTTGCCAGACAGAATGGAGACCCAGGATGCTCTCCTGGGCTGGGGGGACCTTTGAGGGGCTCTGATTTCCCTTCTCCCCGGCCCATTGCCCATGAAGCCGGCCCAGCCCTGTTGAAGAGCCAGCGACTACACTCTAGCCCTGTGCTGGCCCTGCTGGCAGATGACCAGCACATCATCTCAGGCAGCGAGGACCGCACCCTGGTGGTGGTTGACCGCCGAGCCAACAGAGTCCTGCAGCGGCTACAGGTGGGCCCTCCCCAGGGGCCTGGAGGGACGGGGACTGTCACAGGCCCAGTCCAGCCTAAGCTGCCATGTCCCTTGTCTCTCTCACAGCTGGACTCCTACCTGCTCTGCATGTCCCACCAGGACATGCAGCTCTGGACTGGTGACAACGAGGGCCTGCTGCACGTCTTCGCCAACCACAATGGCTGCTTCCAGCACGTCCGGGTCTGCTGGGGCTCCTGCCCCTGCCCATCCCTCCCCCTCAGGCCTTCTTCTTACCCCTGGGTCCCCAGTGGTGTTGGGGGGGGCAGTTGGGAGAGCCTTGCCTGAGTGTCTCCTGACCGCCTCCCACAGTCCTTCAACGTGGGCCACAGGTCTCACATCACTGGGATCCAGTACTCACTGGGAGCCTTGTACACTACATCCACTGACAAGACCCTCCGGGTGAGGCTCCTGCCCAGCCCCTGCCCTCCCCACCTCCATCAGCCAGGGGCACCCCTCTTGACCTTGGCCCGTTGCCCCTCACCAGGTGCACGTGCCCACAGACCCGCCAAGGACCATCTGCACCCGAAGGCACGACAGTGGGTTCACCGGGGTAAGGTCCTGCCCCACGTGCCCTGCCCAGCTGGCCAGAGCGCCACTGTCCCTGACTCCTCATGTCCCTGCCCCCTCCCAGGTCTGTGCTGAGGGCAACCTGGTGGTGGCTGCCTCTGGGGGCCTGTCGCTAGAGGTCTGGAGGCTGCAGGCCTGAGCAGGTGGACGTGGATGTGGATACTGCTGGCTGGGGTCTGGGCCTCGGCCTCTGTTCTTGGGGGACCATCCCCAACATTGGTGCTGCCTCTCTCCCCCACAGGGCCTAGGGCACAAGGAGTCCTGGCCACATTCGGGTGAAGGTCCTGGCCTGGGCCCTATGCATACGGGGTTGAAGTTGAGATTTAGGCCCACCCAGGGGGCTGCTCCCCACCCCAGGGCCCTGTTTTTTTTTTTGTTGTTGGGGGGGGGCCTGGTTTTGTTATGATTTCGATGTGCCGCTCTTAGGTGAGAGTGAAGGAGAAATAAACCTGACGTGTTGGTGCTTGGGCCTGCAGTATGAGTGTGGTTTGCCTGCTGGGGCTCTGCCTGAGCCTGCTTGGGGCTTGGGGGGCTGCGGGCCTGTGTGGGAGTGACTGGGCGAGATGGCAAGGCTGGGCTGGGGGTTGCCTGCCAGCTGCTGCTGTGCATTTGTTAGAAGAAGCAGAGTCCTGAAAATCGTGAGCACCTGTGTCTATAATGTCACTTCTATGTGTGTGACATGTAACGTGTGGTATGTGGTAGGACTCAAATCCTGGACATTTGCCTGCATGGTGGGAGACGGCACCTGCTCAGGCTCCCATAGGTGCTGGGGAGGGCAAGATGGCCAGTGTGCTCTCCATCGGGGCTCCAGGGTGTGTGCTGCTGTGACTGTGATCCTGGGGGCAGGCCAGGGAGGAGGCTGGGCCAGGTGTGCGCCTGGTCCCTGCAAGCCCAAAGTCCCTCTGGTCTGCCATCTCAGCCCGGCCCAGCCATACCCTGAGAAGTATTCACTTCATGTTTATTGAGGCCCCCTGGTCTGCTCAGGCCACAAGGGGGATGTTGTCCTGGGTTCATAGGTTGGCACAGGGCTTCCTCTCCTTGAAGGGGTTGGTGGTGGCCAGGATGCCCACAAGGAAAGGGTCACTCTTGGCCTGCTCCATGCAGAACTGCAGCAGATCGGCAGCTGCCTTGGACACCTGCAGACCAACCCAGTCAGCCAGACCCGGGCATGCACCTATGCGCTGGCCCATGTGTTCCCACCTCTTCCCACCTCCTGCAGCGGCCCCGACCCTCACCTTCACTCGGTCGATGTCTGCCTCCATCCACAGCTGCTCCACTGCCCAGCAGGCCTGCCCAGTGTCACTGCTGATGGCCACCTTGCTGGACATCTGGGGAAAATGGGCAGGGCTGTGGGCAGCAGGCCCAACCTCAGCCCCCTAGAGGGAGCCTGAGGCTCCCACACCTCCTCCTATGTCCCTTGGGGACTGCAGGATGAGGGTGGCTGTTCCTGGACCTGTCAGGCCCACACACCTCGGCTAAGGGCTCCAGCCGAAGCCACGTCTGGCTTCCTGGTCCTCTGGTGGCTGCCCGCTCTGGCTCCCTCCCCTACCTGGCCTGGCCTCTCCAACCCCCTTTTCTCCCTCTGCTACCCCTGCAGAGACTTTGAAGCCAGGACTTTCATGGAGTAAAATGTCACCAGCCACAGCAGCAGCAGCTGCTTTGGCAGAGGGGGTCCGTGCCCCAGGAAGCCCTGTGGCTGCCCTGGTGTCATGTGTCACCTGTGTCCCTGTGGGCTAGGTGCCTTGGCTAGGGGAGTGAGGAGGCTTTGGCCTCCCCCTGAGCTGCTGGATCTCCTGCTGACTCTTCCTAACAAATCTGCTTTGGCAGCCTCTGTCACCCCTGACATGCAGCCCTGCCCCCCCTCCTCTCACCACTTCCCAGGCCCAAAAATCCAATGCTTTCATTCTTTTTTTTGACAGTCTTGCTCTGTCACCCAGGCTGGAGTGCAGTGGCGCAATCTTGGCTCACTTGCAACCTCCACTTCCCAGGTTCAAGCGATTCTCCTGCCTCAGCCTCCTAAGCAGCTGGGATTACAGCCATATGCCACCACACCCGGCTAATTTTTATAGTTTTAGTAGAGATAGGGTTTTTACCATATTGGCCAGGCTGGTCTAGAACCCCTGACTTCAAGTGATCCACCTGTTCGGCCTCCCAAAATATTGGGATTACAGGTGTGAGTCATTGCTCCCGGCCTTTTCTGTTTTTTTTTTTTTTTTTTTTTTTTTTTTTTTTTTTTTTTCAAGACAGAGACGGACTCTCGCCCTGTCACCCAGGCTGGAGTGCAGTGGCACAATCTCGGATCACCACAACCTCCGCCTCCCGAGTTCAAGCAATTCTCCTGCCTCAGCCTCCTGAGTAGCTGGGACTACAGGCATGTGCCATAATGCCTGACTAATATTTTTGTATTTTCAGTAGAGACGGGGTTTCACCATGTTAGCCAGGATGGTCTCGATCTCCTGATCTCGTGATCCACCCACCTCAGACTCCCAAAGTGCTGGGATTACAGGCTTGAGCCACCATGCCTGGCCTCTTTCTTTAAACCCAGGTTCTTGCTCTGTCACCCAGGTTGGATGCAGTGGTACAATCATAATTCATTGTAACCGCAAACTCCTGGGCTTAAGTGACCCTCTCACCTCAGCCTCCTGATTAGGTAGAATTATAGGTGTGAGCCACCATGCCCTGCTAATTTATGGTTTTAACTTTTTGTAGAGATGATTCTATGTTGTCCAGGCTGGTCTTGAACTCCCAGCCTCAAACGATCCTCTTCCCTTGGCCTCCCAAAGGGATTATAGGCGTAAGCCTCTGAGCCCCTCCCCCGCTGAGATTCTAATATGTGCCCAGCACACTGTGCAAAAAACAAAATGAGCAATGATACAAGACAAAACCTTGCTACCACGGACCTGCCATTCTAGTCAGGCGGGGATGGACAACAGAAAACAATGTATTTATACATCTGAAAGAATATGAAAGAAGAATAAAATCAAAGTGAAGGGGAGAGGAGTGCTCAGGCAGGCCTCTCAGAGAGGTAACATTTGAACTTAGGCCCAAAGGAGAAGAAGGAACTGAAACGGGGTGTTCTAGGCAGAGGGAACAGCAAGTACATGACTCCTTGGACAGAAAAGCTTGGTGGGTTCCAAGAACAGCAAAGAGGTCCATGTAGCTGGAGAGGAGAGAGGGAGGGAGGGAGGGCCAGCATGGCGAGAGACGGGAGGTTGAGAGGTGGTCTTTAAGACCACTGTGAAAAGCTTGGAATTTACTCCCAGGGGAGCTACCATTAGGAGGTTTTAACAATGATGTGTTTGATTTATTTATTTATGTTTAAAGAGCTGTAGCACGTGCCCGTGGTCCCAGCTACCAAGGAGGCTGCAGCGAGAGGATCACTTGATCCCAGGAGGTTGAAACTGCAGTGATGTGGGATCCCCCGACTGCACTCCAGCCCTGGTGACAGTGAGACCCTGCATAAAACAAAAACAAAAACAAAACTCTCTGATCTTCCTGTTAGGTGGGAGATGGATTGGAGGAGACCAAAGCCAGCTTGTAGGCTATGGGGTTAAAGAAAATGCCTGGATTTCGGACCTACTTTATAGGTAGAGGTTGGCAGACATGCTGAGAAGGATGTATGTGTGGTGTGAGAAAAGGGGAGACAGCAAGCTCCACTTTTCAATTTTATTTATTTAAGACAGAGTTTCGCTCTTGTTGCCCAGGCTGGAGTGCAGTGGCGTGGTCTCAGCTCATCACAACCTTCACCTCCTAGGTTCCAGCGATTCTCCTGCCTCAGCCTCCTGAGTAGCTGGGATTACAGGCATGCACCATCACGCCCAGCAAATTTTGTATTTTTAGTAGAGACAGACTTTCTCCATGCTGGTCGAGCTGGTCTCAAACTCCCGACCTCAGGTGATTTGCCCATCTTGGCCTCCCAAAGTGCTGGGATTACAGGTGTGAGCCACCATGCCCAGCTTATTTATTTAGTTTTGAGATGGAGCCTTGCTCTGTTGCCCAGGCTGGAGTGCAGTGGGTGATCTCGGCTCACTACAACCTCCACCTGCAGGTTTCAAGTGATTCTCCTGCTTTAGCCTCCTGAGTAGCTGGGATTGCAGGTGCTCGCCAACACCCCTGCTAATTTTTGTATTTTTTAGTAGAGACAGCGTTTTGCCATGTTGGCCAGGCTGGTCTCTAACTCCTGACCTCAGGTGATCTGCCCACCTCAGCCTCCCAAAGTACTGGCATTACAGGTGTGAGCCACCACACGCGGCCCCATTCCCTGTTTTTTAGTCTAGTGGATGAGTGGAGGGTGGGGCCATTTGCTGAGATGCAGAATGATCAGGGATTGGTGGAGAGGGAACTGAAAGGGCAACTTTGAGATCCAAGTGAGGATGTCAAGGAGGACGTCTGGCTCCTCCAACAAGGTAGGCCCATTCCAGCCTTAGGGCTTCTGCTGTTCTGTCTTCCCAGGTACAGGGAATGGCCTCCCTTCATCTTCGCATATGGGGATTTTCTCAGCCTTCTGGCTTTGGCTCAAATCTCACCTCCTTGGCATCCTTCATCCATCCATTCAACTAGCACTTTGGGAGGCTGAGGTGGGCAGATGACCTGAGGTCAGAAGTTCGAGACCAGCCTGACCAACATGGAGAGACCCCATCTCTACTAAAAATACAAAATTAGCTGGGTGTGGTGGCACATGCCTGTAATCCCAACTACTTGGGAGGCAGATCACCTGAGGCAGGAGAATCACTTGAACCCAGTAGGTGAAGGTTGCCGTGAGCCAAGATCACTCCATTGCACTCCACTCCAGCCTGGGCAACAAGAGTAAAACTTCGTCTCAAAAAGAAGGAAAAAAAGCAGGGCACGGTGGCTCAAGTCTGTAATCCTTGCACTTTGGGAAGCCGAGGCAGGGGGATCATGAGGTAAGGAATTCAAGACCAGCCTGACCAACATGGTGAAACCCCATCTCTACTAAAAATACAAAACTTAGCTGGCATGGTGGTGGGTTCCTGTAATCCCAGCTTCCCAGTAGGCTGAGGCAGGAGAATCACTTGAACCCAGGAGGCAGAGGCTGCAGTGAGTCAAGATTGAGCCACTGCACTCCAGCCTGGGTGGCAGTGAGACTGGAGTGAGACTCCATCTAAAAAAAAAAATCTCCTGATTGCACTCATCATTGTTAACATTCTGTCTTCCCAATCAGACTTGAGGCTCCAGGAGGGTCCACATCTTGGGTCTTTTTCACCACTAATTCCTCAGTGTCCAGCACAGGGCCCACCGTATAGAACACACTACGTGAATTGTACAGTAAGTGAATAATTCTCTCGACTGTATGCACTGTTAGGAGGGTGCTTTGAGATACAGATGCCACCGAGGGTCTCACGGTCTTGCTGGAGGGAAAGAGATGTCAGCTGTGGGTCCCAGAAGAGGCCACTGACCCAGTGGAAGTTCAGGGAAGGCTTCCCAGAGGAGGTGACAGCTGCAGCCATAGGGGAAGGAAGAACAGAGCCTTATGCAGCATGTGAAGGCTTTGGAAACCTGCAAGGGCAGGAACCAGGCTCACTATCCCATTAGACAAGAGAGGCTGAGGAAAGCTGAAACTGTGTCTCACTCCGCCTGGTGACTGAAATCCCGTCCATGGGCGACGCTTAAGAAGCGATCCTCTATACTCCAAGAATGT